CATTTCCAACAGCGAACGCAAAATATCTTCGGTCCTCTCTCTCCCACGTGGCTGCCTTCCTCTCTTCCTCTCTCTCCCACGCGGCCGTGCAGGGCATGGCGACGACGACGACGTGGGGCGACGACGTGCTCTGGCGCTGGCGCGGCGCCCGGATCCGGCCCCCCTCCCTCTCCTTCTTCTTCCCCGAGCCCCGCGGAGCTCGCGCCCACGTCCGGCCCCCCTCCCTCTCCTTCTCCTTCTTCACGCCCACGGCTCGGCGGAGCTCGTCCCTGCGGCCCGGTCGAGCTCGCACCCGGATCCGCCCCCCTCCCTCTCCTTCTTCTTCCCCGAGCCCGGTGGAGCTCACGCCCGCGTCCGGCCCCCCTCCCTCTCCTTCTCTTTCTTCGCACCCGCGCCTCGGTGGAGCTCGCGCCCGCGCCCTGCCCCGACGGCTCCTACGGGCCCACCATTTGTGTCGTCTCTCTTCGAAACGCAGATTTGCCTTCCGAATCGCAGAGGACCCAGAATGGGTATCTGGTTTCGGTCCTCCGTTGGAGGATGGTTTTGGTACCAAAAAACACTGTGCGAGAACACATTTTTTGTGTTTAGGTCACACCGTTGGAGATAGTCTGACAAACAAGGGAGTGCAACACCGGTGGTGAGCTTGTCATAACATTGTTTGATCATTTACACATTTTGTCAATTAAACTGGTTCAGGGCGAGACGGAGCCCGCGGCCTCGGTGTTTGGCGAGGTGGATCCAACCCTCAGGGGTCGGATGAGGCGGAGCCCGCGGCCTTGGTGTTTGGCGAGGCGTAGCCTGCCCCCAGAGGTCGGACGAGGCAGAGTCCGCCCTCAGGGGTCGGGTGAGGCGGAGAACGCAGCCTCGGTGTCGGGTGAGGCAAAGCCCGCCCCCAGAGATCGGGCGACGTGGATCGCACGACCTTGGGGTCGGGCGAGGCGGGGCCCGTGCGGCCAGAGGTCGGGCGAGGCGGAGCCTGTGGCCTCGGTGTCGGGCGAGGCGGAGCCCGCCCCTAGAGGCCAGGGGAGGCGGATCGCACGACCTTGGGGTCGGGAGAGGCGGAGCCCGCGGCGTCGGTGTCGGTTGGAGCTGTAGTCGCACCCTTGACTGTCTAGATAGATTAACGTATAACGATCATTAGTCCCTCCTCTTCGGGTACCCTAGTACTGGTCCCCGACACGTACTGTATGGGGTAGGGTGTCCACGGTGACAGATCGACACGAGCAGAGCCAGCTACCAGCTGTGACAAACAAGGGAGTGCAACACCGGCCGGTGAGCTTGTCATAACATTGTTTGATCATTTACACATTTTGTCAATTAAACTGGTTCAGGGCGTGGTTTGGATCATCGAAATTTCACAAGAATCATGCAGTTTACAGGAATCGGTTTAACTTCACAGGAAACAAAACACACAGGAACGTGAAAATTTTCATGCATTCCAAATAAACCCTTGGGCCACTTTGGTAGAGCTTTACTTCTTGACCGTTGAGTTTCACTTTTTTTTTTTTTTTTCAAGCCGTGATTATGGTGGGGAGCACGTGAGAATCAATTCTGAAGTGATTCCGGTGGCAAATGAGTGGGGAGCAGCGTGAAGCGGTGGAGAGCGAGTTCTTTTTTTTTTTTTTTGCTCCCAGCTCGCAGTGTATAAATGGAGAAGTGATTCTCGTCAGCTCCCCACCAGGATCTAGTAGCATTTTAAGTGTTTGACAGGGTTCCGTGAAAAGCTGAGAGTGAATCTGGGGCTAGGAGCGGTGCCAAAGAGACCCTTAATATATATCATTTAAGATAGAGAATGCCTGCGCGTGAAAGAACGAAAATCTAAATCTACATACTACAAACACTTCTTTCTACTCTTGCTTGAACAAATCTCTCCTTTGTTTTCGATGCTACGAGCCCCTCGTGCCACTTTCTTTTATTTATATAAATGCTTAAACTCTAAAATTAATTTTAAAAATACCAGGTGCAAACTTTATTTTATTTTTGAAATAGTCCCTTTTGTTCTACCACCAAATTTGACATGTTAACGAGACCTTGCCAAGCTAACCGCGCGGCGCTTATATACATAGATCGCCAAATAGGTAGCATGGCATGGCTAGCCTCTAGCCCACTCCGGTATGGCACACTGAGGCACAATTAGCTAGCCATGTCATTACGTGCTAGTGGGCTTAGCATGAGAGCGGTGTAGTCGTACCAATCCGGCAGCCTAGCTATAGTCGCAAACACACATCAAACATCAATGATCAACACGGGCCTGCTGGCAACAGCTCGGTATAAATTGGGACTTCACAATAGACTTCTTCCAGATGATGGAGCGAGCCAAGGTCCAACATAACAACTCTTTTTTTATGAAGACTTTCGTCGTTGCCACCGCGCAGATTTGAAAGCAGAGAAACAACTTTATATTTGACAGAGACTGGCCATCGTTTGATTCTTGAAAAAGCCCCTTCTACGAAGAAGTTAAGACTACAAGCCCATAAATTCAATTCTGTTAAGCGCTCTTTCTTCCTTTCTTGTACAGCTGCTCTAGTTTAGCTCTGCTGCCCACCTCAGGCATTCTTTCCTTTTTGTTTCTTCTTTATAGAATTGTTGGTGTTCTTTTTGTTTAATAAAAAGTTTACAGTGGAGGCCTCCCCTGCTGCTGTATTTTCCGCTAAAAAAACACGTCTTTACATCCAATCATCCACACATACACAAATCCATCTCGCTATCAATGATCAGAACCATCTACTCAGCTAGATCCATGCCGGCAGCATAGTGTTGCATTGAGTGCCCGATGCAACTAACCTTATCAATGTCGCCGGTAGGGGAGTGGCATAGGACTGCCTCGCGACCATCACTCCTACGCTAGCATGAGAGAGAGAGATATGAATAGAGCCAATGTTGGAGAGGAAGGACTCAGGAAGGGGTGACCATGGGGAGTGGAGCGCTACGCAGTAGGAGAGAGGGGCATGGGTGTGGGTGCACGGTGGGGTAGGACAGTAGAAAGCAGGATCGACTTTGTGAGGTTCTAGATAAGACATTAATGAGCCTGTTCGCTTGTTGGTTTCAGCTAGCCAATCGTGTTTTTTTCTCACAGAAAATCAGCACCAGCCAGCTCAAACCAGTACTAGCACCAACCAGCGAACATGCCTATTAGCTATTGGATCGTGCCTGAGAGCAGGTAGTAAGGGCACATTTGGTTCACGCCCAAACCACGCCGAGGCCGCCACGCTGCACATGCGGCATGCCGTCGGAGCCAAACGCCGCCGCCGCACTTTGCTGCAGGTTTGGCGGACGCGGCAGCCCGTAGTGCAAAACGCGCACCCGAGCTCGCCAATAGTCGGGCGGCCGATTTGGCCGCCGCACTCGCGGCGGCAGCGGTTCACGCGTGAGCCAGATGCGCCCTAAGTGGCATCAGGTGGGATGCTTGGTTCATGCAAAAACTAACAAGCCAATGCTGGTCTATTGGGCATGGCCCATTTGGTCATCTATAAGAGGAGCGACACTGGATCAGAAGCCTAGTGGAGGCCATACTCGCCCCCCTCCCACTGGCTAACAAAGATTAATGAAGGTTTATGTATATATTTGCAAGTTTGGCTAAACAGTCCATCTACAGTGCTATATATTGTAAGCTTGCTTCCCTACAAACTGCACTTGTAATGGCCTGATCATGGTCCATCTATCTCCAGCAAGTAGTACAAGCTGACCACAAAACTGCGATTATAAAAAAAGGTAGAGTAGTTACCATATCATCTATAGACAATTTGGCACACCCTCGATTACAAAGTCAGGATCCGCCACTGGGAGACCAATCACGTGAAGAGGATTAGGCTGACCCAATTATCGTTAAAAAGAGGATCTGACGTCAGTGACGTCTTCACCGAGTTGTAAGATGGTTCACATCAGGCACATTGGCATAACCAAATCAGTTACCTGTTGAAAAATGTATTTAATCACGTGTCGCTAGCTTATTTAATTTAGAAGAAAAAAAAGGCTAAAATAAAGAAAATTTTCCAGTGGTGGATGGAAGAGCAGCCTGCAGCAGCAACGGGTAGTGACGCCGTGGGCCGTGGTTCTCGGCCCGACAAAGTGACAGGTTCCAAGAAGGAATTGGAATACAAAGATATGGAAACGATTTGAGGCCTGCTTTCGAGTTCATCAAAGATCTGATTTTTCATTTCCTTCTTCAGAATAGAAAATAATTTGGTAGTGCAGTTTAATTCATTAGTTGAATACAGATATGGAAACCCAGAGAACACCTGCTTATGTTTAGAACGCCATATTTTTCTGAAGAAAAAAGTTTAATTCTATTAGTCTCTGAGCAAAGGGGGTGTTTGGATCACCTAAACTACACTTTAGTTCTGTTTTGAATGCTAAATAGAAGGACAAAATATGAACTAATCACAGACTAATAAAAACTTGATCTACAACATCAGATAAAGAAAATGAACCAAGGACCTAATTACCCTACACATAGTTGCAGTTAGTGCTAAGTCCTGACATAAATGGCTTCGAAGTGGTTACATTACTTGCCGTCTGACACCACTGTTGGGTCTCATCGTCATAGAACATCATAACAATACATCATTATAGTTACAACACATGAGAAAGCTGCTGCCTTCATTCACCACAATCCAACAGCTATATGTATGTATGCAGTTTCAGTCTGAACAAAAACGAAGACTGCTTAGCTTCAGTGTCATCAAGATCACCCAGGCCATCACAAACTGTTCACGTTGTTAATTCTTTCCAATGGTTCGTTTCCTGAACTCAGTCACATACCAACAGCAGTAATATGCACAGATAAATCAAATGGTACAGTATAGTACATGCAAATTACAGTATCCTGGCAAAGCAACAGGTGGTAAGTAGTAGTAACAACAACACAAGACATTACACGCTTAGTGTAAGAGGCTACGGAAGGTGTTAAATTGAATATTCCTACTAGGCCTTGGGAGGCTGTGACAGCAGACTTTCGTCCACTTTAAGTGCTGTTCTTCCGGTTCCATGGAGGGAGCTGCTCAGTAGGAGTCATGAGCTGGGCTGTCTGAGTGCATGTCCATGGACGAATCATTTGAAGCCGTGGGATTCACGTCACGGCTTGCGCCATTCGCGAAGTACCCTGCGTCCCCGCCCTGCTCTAGGTGGTAAGGTTGCAGGCTCCGCCGGATGGGGCTGGATAATGCGTTCGAAAAGACCATAGAATTCTTGGACTGTGTCAACCCAGTGTTTCCTGGAGCAAATAAGCTTGGCGATGGTTGCTGGCTGCTTGTGTTGGGGATGTGCACTGTAGGTGCAGTGCTTTGGATAGGGTATTGTGACCTTGGAGAGGCTGATGCATTGTCACCTCCATACTGAATCTCATGCTACACACACAGATGATACATAAGTGTGTAATCATTCTTTGCCTAAATATGTGCAGAAGGAAGAACAATGGTGAAACTGTATGTGAACATGCTATGACTGGAGATGTAAAAAGGCAAAGAAAATAATGAGGATAGGAACAGGATCAAAGTTAAGTCTGCAAGAACGGCAAGTTCATCTCATCTCATTTGTCAAAAGATCATTGTTCGTTAAGGCAACAAGTCAGTAGCACTTAGCACATAATTTAGAGCTAAACATGATCTATGAAATGGCAATATATCCAAGTTTTTACCCAGGTTTCCATTTTCAAATCAGATGGGATAGAAACATATAAAGGAATGATTGCAAACTTACCTGGATATGGGAAGCTACATCAGCAACTGTTAGCCTCAAGCCATTTTCGTGCTGCCTCAGGATCCATTCATAAAGTTTTTCCTGAATCAACCAAAGAAAATGGAGTTTTAGTTACTAGGGGGGGTGGGGGCGTGTAGTAGTATGGATAAACATTTGTCTGCCTACAATCACTGCATTTCCATGAAAAGGATGCATGATTGAGACGACAAAAAAAATTTATTTCCACCTTACAAACACCAGAGCAAAAAGAACAAATTTGAGTCTGTGGGGTAGTGGCAACTTAATAGTTAGTATTGAGTTTGACATTAATTCCAGGCGTGGAAAATGGTCCCTTGGATATTATGCCAAAAAGAAAATTTGAAATACCATACATCATCCCCAAATTGGAGCATCAAAGCTGTATCAGAAAGCCAACAACAACAACAACAAAGCCTGTCAGTCCCAAGTAAGTTGGGGTAGGCTAGAGTTGAAACCCACCAAGAAGCCCCAAGTCACGGTTCAGGCACATCAATAGCTGCTTTCCAAGCACTTGTGTAAATCTCACACCTGCTAACTGGTTTTCAAACGGTGTGACATGTTAATTATTAAAAGAATTAAAGCGCATAGAGAGATGATACAGACTACAGAAGATGGATAAATAATAACAATGAACAAAGATCAGTAGTCATTAAATTTGGGGAAAAGGCAGTTTGGAATAAAAATTTTAGGCAAGAGCATGCTCCAGTTACCAAATTTGACACCCATATAAGTTTTGCGAAAAAGCTAAAATCATGCTACCAGAGGATGCAATCATCACCTGTTGTAAAAGTGTGAAATCATTGACTCATAGAAATAACTGCACTATTTTTCTACCTATTTAATTCTAATCACAATTTGTAGTCAACCTGAGCATGTACTCAAGAACATGTTGTGCTTCAATGCATTGCAATGAACTAGCTGAAAGCCTAGAACTCTCTAAAGCCATGTCTAATGCTATTATGTGGCAGGCACTTGGTGGAATGTTGCGTCTGTTTTGTTGGAACTCAGCCGAGTGCTCACAGATGCATGACGCTCGACTAGGCAGCAGACATTAGGGCAGGCCGAGTAGTATTCCAAAGATAGCTAGTCCATCTGTTTCTTGCAAGGGGCAGATGAGCGCATAAATAGGCTGCTGACGCTTTCAAACTAATTAAGCATATATAATAATGGTTTTTTGGATCGAAGCCATTACAATTCTTCGAAGTTGGAGAAATGCCATTACAATTCGGGTATTCTGAAACATGCCATTATAATTCTGGGTGTTGCTGGTGCTGGCCATTGTCTACGTATGTGAACAGCTTGAGCCCACTGTCAGGTCGAGGAAGGCGTACGTGACTTCCGTATGGACATCGATGCCCTTCTTGCGTGTTACAAGCCGCCGCGCCCTCTCTCCTGTTCAATCCATCCCCCACCCATGCTCCTCTCCGTCTTCCTCTTCCTTTCCCTAAGAACCCTAACCCTAGACTGTAGCCGCCACCGGAGACCTGCGGAGCTGCGACGGCGACCTGCGCTCATCCTTCTCCGTTCCCCTCCTCCAAGAACCCTAACCCTAGAATAGCCTTAGTCGACGTCGCAGCCCACGGCGGAGCAGTCTGGCACGGCCACCGCCGGTTGCTTTGGTCCGCATCCAGAGCAAGCAACCGGCGACAAAGGGCGAGTGGTACCTCAAGTGCCCGTACAACATCAAGGTTATGATTTTTGATATTGTTGTGCTCGCCGTGTGTTGATTCATCTATGATTTATGCCCTTTGTTTCGATTGCAGGATGATGAATCAAAAATATCAAAAATCATAACCTTGATGTTGTACGGGCACTTGAGGTACCACTCGCCCTTTGTCGCCGGTTGCTTGCTCGGGATGCGGACCAAAGCAACATGGGGCCCCGTTCGGCTTACCCAGAAACCGGCTTGTTCGGCTTGTTTTTTTAGCCAGAACAGTATTTTTCTCTCACAACAATTCAGCCAGAACAGTGTTTTCCAGCCAGTTTCAGCAAAGTTTCAGCCAGCCGAACGGGGTCAAATTCCGGTTGTATGAGGGTATACCAGACTATCCATCTGATGAGATAAGAAGAGGAGATTTAGTCTATTAAATATGCAATACACGTTTAGTTACCATACTGCACTACTAAAGCTAACTTGTTGTGTCTGGAAAAATAAATGTTAACTTCCTACCTAACAATAAAACAATGTGGACCATAAAACAATACCTATCATAGAAATGAAGCACTGCAATCTCTGACCAAAACCAAAATAAAATATACAACAAGTTGTAGTGCCAAGAAATGTGTACTTAGACTGGAACAGTACAGCAGTACCCTGAATGGTGAGACTTCCATATAGCAGTGCACAAGCAAAGTAAAGTTGAAAAGGATGCATCCTTGGTACTACTGCCGAAGTAACCCGCCCCAAAAGTAAAGTCTCTAGCCCCTCCCGCCTGCTTTCCGATTGCACAACCTCCCTCTGAACCTAACCAAGCCTTGCAAGTCGCAAAGCACAAAGTGAGACGCCCACAGCCGCTTCCACCGAGAAAGGAAAAGCTAAAGTAACACGGAGGCAGCTAATTAGAGAAGGAGCGGCAATTAGAGCTTGTAAAATTCCAAGCGGAATGACCCCAAATGGCAATACAACAGTTGTTGCTTTATCAATCAATTTTGTAGGAGGTGTGACATTGAATAGGATATCGAGAACAGAGGTCAACACTCAACAGGACGAGCTAGGGATCGAGTACGAAGAGAGATTAATCTCAGCAAATGTTGGAACTGGACGTGGGTCGAAACTAATCATGCGCAGCCTATCCATCCATCCACGAAATTCAGCCAGAACTTGCGTCAAATATACTTCTACTGCCATCATATCCTCTGGCATGGCAAGCAACGAATCGAAATCAGTATCGAACTGGACCCAAGAGATCCAATCTCCGCCCCCCAGGAGGAGGCGTCAGCATCGTGATTCCCAACCAATCGAGCCTAAAACACAGGAATTCATACCACAATGACCGCCAAGCGCCCCCAAAATCTGGGCCCGAATTGGCCGCCGCCAGGACGCAAATCTCTTCCACTACCACCGGGGAACGGAACCCAACAGGCACCCAAATCCGCCGCCGGAGGGGGAGGAGGAACCAGGGAGGGAGGAGGGCCGTGGACGTACCATGGCGTGGCGTTCGCCGGCGTGGAAGGAGGCCTTCTGCGCGCCCATGGCGAGCGTGTAGAGCTGCGAGAGCGAGTTGGCGGCGCCCCGGAAGGCCCCGTAGAGCGCCCGGTCCGTCTCCTCCAGGCGCGCCGCCTCCGCCTTGCGCTTCTTCCCGGCCATCCCAGCCAGTCCCCCTCTCAGGTCGTCGCGCTCCCGATCCGTCCGGGGCCGGCCCAGTCCGGGCGAGGGAAGGGAACCCTAGGGGACCCAGGCGGCGAGACGGCCCCCGGCGGCGAGGTGACGTCGACGCGCACGAAGCGGCGGCTTTACGTCTCTCTCTCTGCCTGCGCTGTGTTTTTGTTTCCCGTCTCGTCTCGTCTCGTCTCCTCACCGTGGCCCGTGCTTGGTTGGTTTCTCTTCATCATGTCATCATCTCGTCTCGTCGCTACGTCGTTTGCAGTGGGCGTGCTGTGGCTGGTGGGCGCGCGCGGAGGCTGATGCCGACGCTGGGGCCCGCATGGCGGTGGCAGGAACGGGACGGGAGCGTACGGGCACGTGGCAGGGGCGCGGAGCGCACGTGGGCCTCGACGGCATGACGGCGTGGATGCGATGTACTGACAGGTGGGACCATCGGAGCTCCCACGGTGTCACAGAGCCATTTTGGTTGCCTAGCTTAGTTGGGTCTAGCCCTTTGCAGATTGTGTTTGTTTAGTTGTAGCAGGGTAACTACCTTAATTACCCAAATGAGATCCTATTTGTTTACCGGGCTTGGACCGGTGACTTCTTAAAGATGGCAACGCGCACGTACCCGCTGGCTACAATGAACCCATACCCGTGCCCGCGAAGAAAAAATATGCCCGTTAAAAAACTCATACCCGCAGACGGGTACAAATGGGCGCCCATACCCGTGCCCGAGCGGGTAACGGGTACCCACGGGTTGCCCGCGCGCCGACAAACTGCAGGCTTCAACAGGTTTCTTGGGAAGGCACCAGTAGTGGAAGCGGAGGGGTAGGACGAGCACCTGACGGCGGTGTAGTCGACTCTCGCTTGTCGTCGTCCTTATCTACGACCGTGCGACGGCAGCCTCTGGATCCATGACCACAGGAGCGTTAGCAACGGCATCCCTTCGGGACGACGGGAGGGGGTCAGTAGGTGCTAGAGCAGCTGCAAGACAGCAAGAGGGTTACGAGGAGGAAGAAGTATCATCGGCATGGCCAACGCTGGGCGCCGGAGTTCGGAGTTTAGGACAGACAATACAGGAGTCGCGAGTGTTGACACCTGTGAAGGCACACAGAGACAAAATCCGCAAGCGCACGGGTATCGAAGTAGTTTTCACCCAGAGTATTATCAAGTATCGTATACACGGGGAAACATGTGTGTTCTCTAACAAGTTTGTCCAGGGATAGTAATCAAGGTTTAAGGTATGAGTAGAGAGGATTGCTATGGTTATGACCCTATGCAAAGCAAGGCTTATGATTCTAATGTTCACTTTGGGATGCCGCTTAAACGGTAAAGCACCGCTAATAGATAACTGTACCGACACGACTACGGTCCTACTAATTTAAGAACATGCTCAATTCGATGTGGACCTTTAGGTTGGTGGTGAGTGGCATGGCGTCTCTTCCATTGATATTCCCATGTTTCTAACACGAGATGCACCTCCGTATGAATTCTTTGGTGTCATCGTACATAGTTGGCCAGAAGAATCCACTTTGTCAGATCTTAGCATTAGTGCGGAATGCCCCATAATGTCCTCCATACAGTGATGAGTGGCATCTTTCAATGATCTTGATTGCTTCCTCAACAGGAACACACCTCCGGAACAGTCTATCGGAACAAACTCGGAAGAGGTACGGTTCATCCCATAGGTGGAGGAGACTTTCATGGATGAGCTTCCGCTTATTCTCTCCTAGTGGTACATAGCCTGCAACCATAAAATTAACAATATTCGCGTACCTAGGGTCGGATCCTGTGACCTTTAGGAGCATGTTGTCCCACAAAAAATCGTTGATGGGCAGCTCCTATGGATTCTCGAACTGCATTCTTGATAAGTGATCGGCTACATAATTTTTTATTCCTTTTTTATCTTTAATTTCTAAATCAAATTCTTGAAGCAAAATGATCCATCTTATAAGCCGGGGCTTAGCATCTTTCTTAGTAAGGAGATATTTAAGAGCTGCATGATCAGTGTAAACAATAACCTTAGCTCCTACTAAGTAAAATCTAAACTTGTCAATAGCAAAAAACAGCCATAAGCTCTTTTTATGTTGTTGCATAATTAAGTTGAGGTCCTAACAGAGTTTTACTAGCATAAGAAATTACATGATGCTTTCTATCTTTTGTTTGACCCAATACTACCCCCACAGCATAATCACTAGCATCACACATGATTTCAAAACGCAGCGACCAATCAGGGGGTTGAATGATTGGTACAGAGATGAGTGCTTTCTTAAGGATTTGAGAAGCATTTAAACATTCATCATCAAACTCAAAGGGAGCATCCTTGGCTAACAAACTTGTAAGGGGTCTAACAATATGAGAAAAATCTTTTATAAAACGGCAATAGAACCCCGCATGACCAAGGAAACTTCATACCCCTTTGACATTCGTAGGAGGAAGTAGTTGTTCTATTACTTCTATCTTAGCTCGGTCTACCTCTATCCCACGTTCGGACACCAAGTGTCCAAGCACTATGCCTTCTCTAACCATGAAATGATATTTTCCCCAATTTAAGACCAAGTGCTTTTCCTCACATCTTTACAAAACTCTGTCTAAATTTTCTAAGCAATCATTGAAAGTTTTTCCATAAACTGAAAACTTATACATAAAAACTTCCATGATTTCTTCTATCATATCAGAAAATATAGACATCATACACCTTTGGAATGAAGCTAGAGCATTGCACAATCCAAAAGACATCCTGCGATAAGCATATGTTCCATAGAGACAAGTAAAAGTAGTTTTGCTTTGGTCATCAGGATGGATCGGGATTTGATGATAGCCAGAATACCCATAAGAAAACAAAAGAAAGAATGGTTTGCAAGCCGTTCCAACATCTCATTGATGAAGGACAATGCGAAGTGATCTTTCTTTATTGCCTTGTTAAGTTTTTGATAATCAATACACATCCACCATCCTGTGACTGTTCGTTGTGGGATTAATTCATCTTTTTCATTTTTTACCACAGTCATGCCCCCTTTCTTCGGTACAACTTGTACCAGGCTTACCCACTCACTATAAGGCACGAGATATATTATCCCTGTATGTAAAAGCTTCAAAACCTCTTTCTTAACAACTTCTCTCATCGCATTGTTAAGCCTACATTGGGACTCCCTAGAAGGTGGATATGCTGGATCTATGGGAATGTGATGGGTGCAAAGGGTAGTACTAATCCCCTTGAGGTCTTCGAGCGAGTAGCTGAAGGTAGAGCGATGCTCTTCTAAAACAGTAAGGAGCCATAGGGTCTCATCCTTAGACAGTTTATCACTAATAATCACAGGGGACTTCCTATCATTGTTTAGAAAAACATATTTCAAACCTGAAGGAAGGGGTCTGAGCACAATGGAGGGTTTTGGCGGCTCTTGAGTTTCATCCAAAGGGAAAGGATCTCGTGGTTCTTCTTTGTCTTGGATAAAATCCTGAGTGTCTTCTTCGAGATCTTTGTTGGGAGCTTCTTGGAGCGAAGCTACCATAATCTCCTCCAATGGATCATGCCCGGGACTCAACTCTGTCTTAACATGTAGTGAGCAAGTAATGGGAATAGATAGGTTTATGCTTTTCCCAAGATTTACACTTATACTCCCCTTTCTTCCTTCATGTAGGAGTCTTTCTATTAGATGCCCTATCAAAATATCGAACTCCCAGATATCGAAAACATAAAAACTAAGATACACCTTGGTTTTGTCTACTTTGATAGGGATGAGGTAAAAAATTCCTTTACTAGGAAGGATTTGCCCTGAGAGACTTTTTAAGAGTTTGGTTGTTAGAGTTAATTGAAAATTTTTAGGAAGGGTATGTGCAAAAGATTTAGACATAAGATTTACTCCTATAACCGGATTATAAAAGGCATCGAAAGAGGTTTTACGAATCTAACAACGAATGGAGGTAGAGGGAGAATCTAAACGAATAACTTTAGAAGAAAGCTTGGATTCTCCCAACCACTCATTGCTTACGATTGTTGTCAACTCCTTCATAGTCTTTTTAAGAAACTTCTCTTTGGTTGGGTTAGGAAGATGCGGGTTAGGTGCTTATGGCGCTGAAGATTTCCTTATTGCATAATAATTCAAGGTGTTTCCAAAATCGGAGAAGAGCTCATCCTCGAATTTAGACATATTTTCCAAAGACGGAATTTCTTCCTCCTTTGGTGGTTCAGGAACTTGGAGAACAATTGAGGCTTCAAGTGGTGTAGTTAAAGGCCTAGGCTCAACTATCATAAGTTCTTCCTTAGGAGTTTTCTTAACTACATCTTCTGGGCTATCGTCATGAACGCTGGTGCATGGGTGTTTTCTAGGATTTTTCTAAGGATATTTCTCCCTTCACTAGCAGAGCAATGTAAGAAGGCACCTCCAGAAGTTGTATCAAGAAGCTGTGCGGTCTCCCCACTAAGACCCATATAAAAGTGTTGTAAAAGCATATGGTCTTGAATGGCAAAGTCAGGGCCAGAATTGACTACGTCGTTAAAACATGCCCATGCCGCACCAAGAGATTCTTTTTCTCTCTGTTTGAAAGATAGAACCTCTATTTGAAGGCTAACCACTCTAGAGATGGGAAAGAAAGATAAGCAAAAGCTAGAGCATAAAGCTTCCCAATCTCCTTGTACACTCCCTACGGTTCGGGTATACCAGTGTTTAGCTCTTCCCGTCAAAGAGAACGGAAATAGCTTCCACTTTAAGGTTTCATGTGACATGCCCGCGATATGCAAGCATGCACAAGTTTGCTTAAACTCTCGTAGGTGGGTATATGGGTTTTCATCACCTTCTTTGGAGAATGATTGTTCCTGGACCAAATTTATTAAAGACGGACGCAACTCATAGCCAGGTGTAAGGATAGGTTTTGAAGATTCCGGTGGCTCTAGTTGTGCGCCCGTGGGAGCAGTGAATTGATTGATAGGCATGATGTTATCTATGCTTAAAGATAAATAAAATAAAAGATACAAGGACAAACCTAGTTTGACAAAATCA